AGGAAGAAGGGCAGCCATTATCCATGCGGTCATCCAGGTGAATCTGAACCTGGCTCTCTCCTCATCACCGCATCCTCCAAGAGTGCCCTGCCTCCAGTGGAAACAACAACCACCTCTGGATGATGCGAGTGAGTAACCTACTAGAGATCCGATCAGATATTTAGCTTCAGTAACTCAGATGCGTGTTTAAACGGCTAACTCAGCCACCCTGGTTTGCTCCATGGGATTCCTTTGATATTCCTGTAAGATTTCTATGATATTGCTCTACCTTTTACCCTGTTTCCACCCTACCCCTGTAATCAATAAAGTTCTCCTTTGTGACCGGTGTGGAGACTTAGGGGGACAGGATGCATGTGTGCAACAGGTTGCCCACTGAGGCCCAGGATCCTGACTGAAGAAGTTTCATCCCTGCTGCAATGAATGGGAATGAAATGAATGAATGGGCTTCATGAATGTCAATGGGGATCTGAAGGAAGAGGGTCATCTGATGGGAGAGCAATTCCTCAGGGGCTGCAGCCCAGGACCCAGTCTGCAAGTGGGAGGATTGTGGGATTTAACCTCAGGAGAGAGAGAGGCAAGAGGCCCGAGACACAAGGAGGAGGAGCACTCAGAGAAACCAGAATGGAGACAGAGGTGCAGCCAGCTCATAATCATTACAGATGCTTCCCTTTTCATGAATTTTAACAGGTACCTAAGAGGTTTAATATCAGTGGAGAAAGGGTCTGCATCAGAGGACCATATTGACAGCCCATGTAGAAGGACCCACATCATCCGCATTTCTGCCCCAGTTCCTGGGAGGGAGCAGAGATGACTACGTAGAGAAGGAGGTGTTTTCTCTTGGCTGTGAGACCTGATGGCCCAATGGCTTGGGAAGGGCCCCCAGACTAGTGGATATGGCCTGAAGAGCTGGCAGGATGGGATTAGGATGCCCCACAACAGACTGGCCCCTGCCACACTGGGCAGGGCAGGAGCTCAGACTGCCCTTCCTGCAAGTGGCTTGTATCATGGCTGTTTCAGGCCTTGTAGCCCAGTATGCCCATTCTCTCCTAATCCCATGAACCTCTAGTCTGGACAAGCCCTCACAATTCATGAGCCCAGCAACCGTGGGAAGCTCTACAGTTAGTTGAATGGGCCGGGGCCCCCCGGTCTGATCAGCACGGAAGGGGTGGTGGGGGCTCCTTTGCTGTGGGGGTCTGTCTTCTCTGCCTGAGGGCTGCTGAGCATGTTTGAACCAGCTCCTCCATTGCCTTGTCTAGGAGGGTTCACACAGGGCTGATCCTGCCCTGAGCAGGGGCTGGACTAGACAAGCCCTCCTGAGGGCCCTGCCAGCCCAGCTCTGTTGGGACTCGCTGTTCTGCTCAGGGTCCACCCCTGGCTGGCTGCAGACCCTGAAACTCTGGGCCCACGGCTCCCTGTGCCCATCCGAGCCTTCAGCCAGCGTCTGCCCATGGAGAGGAGGAGAAGGACCCGCTTGGTGTTAACCGTGGGGGCAGAACCAGATCGTGCTTGGACACCTGAGCACGGTGAGAGGCCTTAATGGCTGGGGGGGTGGGGAGGCAGGATGTGGCCCAGGGTCCCAGCCCGACTGCCATGTGCAGGGCCCAACACAAGCTGTGATATAGCTCCCGTGTCAGTCCATCACCACGGAGACCAGGGATGGGCAGGGAATAAAAGCTTGCCACCGGTGCTTTCTGGTCAGTCTCAGCGCAACGCAAGAGACTCAGCTAAGGTGTAGAAGAGGTTTTATTAGTTGGAGAGAGTTCAAGTTAGGAGATTAGATTACATAGATTACAGACAGCAGATAGAGAGTAGCTAGTGGTGAGTTGTAGAGAGAGTTTAGAGATAGCAGATAGATAGTAGATAGGAGAGCAGACAAAAGTAGGAGATAAATAGTAGATAGAGACAGTGGTGTAGAGTAGATAGAATAAGTAATAGCACAGTAATAGTAATGATAGGTAAGGAAGACCCAGGGCTGTGCCTGCAGCACAGCAGCAAGGTGAGTGATTGGAGGGACAAGTCCCAGACCCAGCTGCAAAGGGAAATGTTGTCCTGGTGCTGGAGCCAGTGCCTCCTGCTGCCCCGCACAGAGCTCGGCTTTCTGGGGGCCCGTGGAGCCTCATGGCCCCAGCCCTTGGCTGCTTACTCCCATCTCTCTCCCTCCATTTCAGACCAGCTGCTCTGACCCAAGCAGCAGGGAGAGACAGCGGAGAGGCGACTTAGTGCGGGTAAGGGGCTGGCAACACCTCGGGGTTTTGCAACAAGCTGTGAGGCTGGCATGGCAGTAGCAAAGGGTTCCCGGTGCTCCACCCTCCTGCTGGCAAGGGGCTATCATGTGCTTCTCCTGTTGGCTGGGGCAGCACTCTCCTGGCTCCATGTGGCTTTAGCTCTTAGGCGCAAGGCCTCTGCCTCAGCTGCGCTCTCCTTGATGCCATTTGGGCAGGATATTGGGGGTGGGGAGGAGAGATGAGGCCTCCTCAGCTCTGTGACCATGCCTGTGGTCTGTGGCTTGGGCATGAGCTGACAGTCCTCCTGGGGGCACTCTGCATACCCAGGCACAGGCTGAGCAGAGCCCTCCTGGTAACAGTGATGCCATTGGCTATTGACAGGTCTGCTGGGGCTGCCCTTTGGTGCTGGGGTGGGTGGGAGGTCTGGGATCTGGGTCAGTGCAGGCTGAGAAAGGCCCCAAAGTTTCTCCATGGGTGCAGGAAGTGGCTTGAAGACTCCTGGGGGGAAGAGGTCCAAGGGGGGCTTTTGCTGAGCAGCTCTTCTCCTCCTCCAGCTATCCCAGATCCAGTTACCTGCAGGATCTGGGGCACAGCTGGCCCCGCAGCCTCCTCCAAGAAGACCTAAGCAGACCCACAGACCAGTCTGGGTGCGGGCCCCTCTGCTGGTGTGCCCCCCACCATATCCCAGGGAAGAGGGTGAAGACATGGGGGCAGGTGATGTTCCCAGGGGCAAGAGCCAGGTGAGTGGCTGTGAGGTGCTGGCAGAACTGTGCCCTGAGCCTTGGACAGGGCAGTGATGATATACTGGGCCCTCCCTGTCCCTGCCTGCACCCTGAACCGACACAAACCCCCAGCCAGAGCCTTGGCTGCAGTCCTGGGAGCAGACAGTGTCCTGTGCCCGGCCATGTATGAATACCTGCCACAGCCATGGGGACCGAAATAGTCCCCTCCAAGCCTTCCCTATGCCCTGCCCTGGCTGAGCAGTCTGAAATGCTCTCCCCAGAATGCCCCACATCCCTAGGTGCCCTGAGACATCAGGGTGGGACTCCTCTGGCTCTTGCCTCTGAGCACCTCCTAGCTTTAGGATTGAGAAGGGGAAACTCAGGCACGGATTATGGAGGACTTTGTCCACAGGACCTCAGTTTGTGCATGTGTGTGTGCTTGGGAGATGGTAGCATGGGCATGCCCATGTGACCTAGGGAGACATCTCGATGTGCAGAGATGTCCATCAGGTGAGATACCGTGTGTCCAGTGGGGTGAAGTGTATACATAGGTGAGTGAGCTCATGATGGTGGCTGGCATACGTGTGCATGCATGTGAGGCTGTGTTCCCAGCGTGCACTCACTGCTCCCTGCACCAACTCCCCCATTCTTCCCTTCTACAGCCGCTCCACACCGAAACTCTGCGGCACCGACAGAAGCTGCCCAGGCTGGCTGTGCAGGAAGTGATAGGTCCCTCGAGGGCAGTGCCCCAGAGCAGGGGTGGGCTGTATCCATGGAGTTGGGCACCAGGAGGGGCTCCCAACAGGCTCCCTCCCTTACAGGACCCACAGATGTGTGGGGCTCGGACCCTCAGTGTCCAGGAAAGGCCCCTGCTGGCATGGTGACTGTCCCCTCTCCTTCTCTCCTAGGGCCTGGACAGAAGCCCTCAGAGCAGGGTCCAGGTGGAGGCTCCAGGGAGGAGAGCTGTGGCCCAGAGGAACCCAGAGCCCTGTACACCCCAGCGGGGCCTGCGGAAAATGATAAATTGGCTACCTCCTGGCCTGAAACCCTTTGCATCCCAAGTAATACTTGCTGCCCCAGTCCCTGACCACCTTCTGGTGGTGTGTGCCCCTGTGTGCTGGGGCAGTGTGTGTGTTGTGCATGTCCATGTGGGAGACTGCAGTGCGTGTAGATGTATATATGTGCCTGTGAGTCTGAGCTGGTGTCTACCATGTGAGTGCGGGTATGTGGGCCCGTGTCCCCTGTATTGACTCCCTCGTCTTTTCCCCGCAACAGGCTCTCATCCTCGAGAGGGCTGGGCCCAGAGCAACCCCAAATACGTCTATGTGGGGAATGGTAGGTCTGCGGGCTTGCCATGCCTGCGGGGCTTGGGTGGCTGGTGTTTAGGGACCAGGGAGTGCCACGTGGTGTCCTGTGAGGCTCTCTGTCTTACGGGCACCCAGGGGCATGAAGGACTCAGACCCTTTGTGCCCAGGGCAGAGCACAAGTGGTGCAGTAACTGTCTCTTCTCACCTGGTCCATCCTAGACCCTGTTATGAAAGCCTGCATGGCCATCACAGGACCAAGGCAAGTGATCTTGCAGCACCGTGGTAGCACCGGGGAGATCCTGCTGGACTCTCTCCTCCCTGGCGTGGAGCGCACCCCCTGCCAGCACCAAGCAGGTGACATCTTGCTCCATCTGAAAGCTGACTCCACCAACCAGAGGGACCTCCCACACTCCTCCCAGTCATCCACAGCTATTCCAAAGGATGCTAAGTCATCATTGCAAGCATCCCAAAATCTGCACAGCAGACTGCCTCTCTTTCTAGACCCTTTATGAGCTTCACAGGACAGCACATTCTTTGTATCCCCTGATCCAGCATTTGCTTTACATGGCTGAGCCACCCGAGTCTTTTCTTAATCAACATTTCCATGGATGACATACCTGCATGATTAAACACTTGCTCATTTGTCACCCTGTCTTGCCTTCTTATTTGAAGAATTTTGTGCAGGTACCTGATATGAAAGCTGTTTAGTTTTTTGGTATGTTTGTTGTGGGTTGCCCATGTTTCTGAGCCATATAGAAGAGTGGATGAAACACATGTCTCGCATATATGAGTTTTCACTTTAGTTCACCATTTGCTATTATTCCAGGCTCTGTCTTGGAAAAGCCCAAAGTACCTGGCTGCTTTGCCAATTCTATTAGCAAACTCGGCATCAAGATCTACATTGCTGGTAACAGTTGGGCCAAGGTAGATAAACTGGTCAACAACATCCAGATGAGTACCATCTAGGGTGATATCTGGAACTGGTTCTGAAGAGCCTTGGTGCATGATAGCAGTCTTCTTCAAGCTTATTACTAGCCCAGAGATTTTTCATGAGCCAGAGGACTTGGTAATGAGATGTTGTAGGACATCAACACTGTGAGCTACAAAGGCTACATCATCTGAAAAAAAAGGTCCTTTCTGATGATTTCTTTCATCTTTGTTTACCTCTGAACTTCGCAATGTTAAACAGGCCTCCATCTTGTCTAGTGCTGGGATAGACACCCTCTCAAACATCATAGAACCCATGTAGAAGCAGGAATAAGAAGTAAATGTTAAACAAGATGGGAGGCAGTGAGCAGCCCTGCTTCAATCTGTTGTTGACATTGAATGACTCAGACACTTGTTTTTCATATATAACAGCTGCCTTCATGCCATCATATAGGGATTCAACAAGATTTAGCAGTATAGGTGGACAACCAAGCTTCTTCAGAACATTATAAAGGTCTGACCAATCTATAAAAGCCATGTATAGTGGGATCTGCTTCTCTCTGCACTGTTTTTCCTTTACTCAGTGGGTCTAATAAAACATATCACTTCTACTCGAAAACCCTTGCCTGCTTTCTGATAGCAGAACCTACAGCATGCCCTCTCCTTACTCCTTCAGGTTTGCCATGCCAGGAAATGGTGTATTCCTTCTCCTTTATGAAGCCTGTGTCTCAGAGCTGAGTTTCTGAAAGAGCCACAATATAAATTATGAAATGTGCAAGCTCATTACTCCACAAAGCCATTTTCCTCCGATCTGAATCCAGATCCAAGTCATATCCAGGGATCAGAGTTCAAATATTCCAACAAGCAATTTGGTCTATAAAATCAGTTGATCCAGGGTGTCAGCAGTGAGGCAAGCCTTGTTTGACCCACTTTTTCTAAAGCCACTCTCATGTGAGGCAAGCAGGCAAGCTTCCTAACCAGGGCTGCTTGGAAATCTGCCTCAGGCCCTCTGACTGCCTCCAGTCCCTGTGACTGTCTTGCCAAGACCTAGACAGTTACGGAGGAGCAACTTGAATAGAGCTGCTAACTGCCTGTTGCTTCAGCATGAGTTTCTTATCTGTTGGGGTGAGGTCCCAAGAAAGGTCCACAAAGCAGCTGAGGATGCAGTTTAACACCAGTCAGTCAGGGCTGCACCATTTGTATGGCTGGTGTTGTACTGTCCTGGCAACCATCGATCCTCTGGATCATGGTTTACATGCAAGAGGTCTACAACCATCACACCAAGACCATCAGCGCAGAGGGCACCAGCAATTATCTGCCTCAGGCAGGGGCACTGGCTGACTGCAGGGCAAGGAAAGGGCCAAGGTGCCTTTCCACACTCAGGGCAACTGGCGGAGCAGCTTCCCCATCCTCTAGATATGAAGAGTCTGCTCGTTTCTCCTCTGCAGGAATTTCAGGTTTTGCTGAGCACATTATTTCCTAGGTTGGATCCACCTGCAGGGAATGAGTTGCTTTTCCACTGGGCTAAACTTCTGGGAAGCGCCTGCTTGTCATGAGTGCAAGATGCAGGAAGCTACCAGGATCACCCAACATGGAAGAACCTGAAATCTCAGTGTAACCCCCTTGCATTATACAAAGGGCATTTTTGAAATGCCTCCAGCTTGGGAGGGTCAGTGAGACCTTCCTGAGCATGTTGGGTAGGGGAATGGTGGTGGCTAGTGGCCCTGTTGGGATAAGGGGGTAAACTCTATCCTAGCAGCCCGGTTTGAGAGTATGTCACCTGGGCCTAGAGCAGGGTTTTCTGAGGAAAGTCTCTGTGAAGAGGGCAAGGGCTAGTTGACCATCTGGCCTGTCCTTCTGAAACACTGACTGAGCAGGGCTGATTATTAAACTGAATAATCCAGCCCTAGGCCGCTAGCATATTAATACAGCTTCTAGTTTAGTTTAAACTGAAGAAAAAGGTGTGTTGTTTCCTATGTGATGATGCACCTGTGGAATCAGAAAAAATATGCGCCTTAAACTTTGACTATTTTAGTTATAAGATGACATAACCGCTTTGTGGAGAATTGCTGGCTCTGTATAGTAGAACAGATAAGAGAAAGTGTTTGTTCTTTGTAACTCCTCTGCAACTGCTTCGCTCACCACGGCCTTGAAGATAGCAAAAAGTATGTACAACTCTGATTTGCAGGTGCAAGAAGGAGGTTTGTGAACTAACCTCGCCTCCCCCATTAGTTCCCATCCTGATTACAGCAAAGAAATAATAAAGTAACATTATAGCCGCTTTTCATGCTAATTTCACTATATGATCACGTGAGTTGTAAGCAACTGTTAAAAAGTATATAAGCCTCCTGATTTTGCTCTTGGGGGGGGACCCCTTCCAAGTGCTTGGGAGATCCATGTCACTTTGGAGTCCCCCCTACAGCTGTAGTTTCTTTTGAATAAAAGCTTCTGCTGACCTGACCCAAAAGTATGCTGCGTGTGTTTCCACGACAATTCCTGGTGCCGTGACTCGGATCCAGAACACAGGCTGAGAAAGGAGGACCGCAGACTGCCCCCCCCGAACCCCGAGGCGCCAAACTTGAGAGGTAAGAGACCTAATTCAAAATCTCTATTGGGGTTTCGGAGGAGGACTGCCTGTAGGCTCCCAACTTGGCCGTGGTAACTGGATCTGAACCTTGT